TTTCATGAGGGTATGATGCAAATCGAATCTACACTCTTTAGGAAGAAGAGAATAGATAGCCTTATTGTGTTCCCGATATAGGAGAGACAACAAATGATGCCCTTGAATTTTAAATATGGATGCAACAAATGATTGCAGCTTCTTGTGAAAAGTCACATCCTGAAAAGGCTTATATTCGCGAAAATGTATGAACTGTGAAAAACTGACTTGGCCTAGATTTGAAGTATTTTGATGGGTGATGACATTGGTATAGCTCCCCAACTGATTTGAGTAGTATAGCTAGCTAAAAACTCTAGCTTAATCCATCTATGAACTCGGAGTGCATATGACAAATTTTCTCCAAATTGATCCTTAGCTTCCCATATTTGTCCTAGTTAAGTTCCCATAGCTTTCGACTCTATTTGTTAGCTTAAGTCAACTCAAAATGTGGTCGCCTATATACCTTAACAAATAACACAATATAAGTTAAGCAATTAAAACAATAAGCATATAATATAAAGATGTGTATAATAGATTATATGCATGATTATTAATCAATGATGCAAACAACAAGATATAATGAATTAATGTACATGTTATGATAATTCAAGTATAGCCTAATATGTAAATATATGCTCATAATAATATATAGTGCATAAACAAGTAAATATAAGATAAAGTAAGATAGAACTCCCTTATATTGAACTTGATGGATCTTCAATGATGTGAGTATGTCATAAAGAAAGTTGATGTTAGACAGGATCACATCATCCCCCTTTGTTTTAGGTGATTTGTCCTCAAATCAAGAGGGTTCTTCAATGAGAATTTATGTGTTGTTTGTATAATCAAATCCTTATTCTTGGATGATGAAACAACTTCATGAAACTTTCCTTTGAAGTAGATGCCTCCAAAAGAGTCTTATTTGAACTTATCTTCTAAAGGTCTCTCTTTTTGGATGGACATTACCAATAGGTTCCTCTTCGAAAACATCTCTTTTAAGAGACACCTCATTTGAAGAGTTACCACCCTACAAAATGAAAGAAAGAGATCTGTCAAGACCTTGGTTAGAAAAGGATATGTTAATCATAGATAACTTCAAATGAAATTTCCTATTCGCCTCTTTATGTGGAAAGACATCTATCCGTTTAACTTCTTCTTGGTGTTGATTTGAAGCATCAAGTCCATTGGAGTAGGAATATGTCTTTTGGTTCAAAATATCATGTTCTTTGGAAAAGGTATATAACTCTTTATCTCCACTCCTTGAATCGTCATGATGGTTTGTGAAGAGTCTTGACCTTTGTAATCCTTCAAGTAGGTAGAATATGTCAATTCTTTTCAATTCTCTCATTTGCAACCCCAACGTTTTCATCATTTTCAACTCCAACATTTTGTTCAACTTCAAAATGTTTTTCTACATTTGAATTTTCCTCCGAACATTCTCCTTCAATTGTATTGTCTTTAAGTTGCTATTTCATTGCTTTAATGCTTTTCTTCAAGGTGTTTTGATCTTCTGATACTCAGGTAGGGAAAAGTGGAGTCAAAATGACTTTTCTTTCATTATGGATAAAAGGGTATCGGTTGGTGTAGCCATCATGCACTGTCCGTTTGTCGAACTTCCATGGCCCCCTAAGAGTAGATGGCACGTATTTATTGGCACAACATCACAAAGAAGTTCATCTTGATATTTTCCAATTGAGAACGAGATTATGACTTGCTTGGTGACTTTCACTTCACCTCCATCATTCAGTCACTGTAACTTGTATGGAATTGGATATTTGGCCATCTTTAATCCAAGTTTTTCCACATGATTGTGCTTGTAATGTTGGTACAGCTTCCTTTATCGATAATCATGAAACATACTTTTTTGTTTACATGACATCGGGTGTGAAAGATGTTCTCCCTTTGATTATCTTCCATGGATTGTATGTTAAAAATTTTTTTAACAACAAGAACTTGTCCTGAAGTGGTAGGAAGATCTGACAAAACTTGAGACATTGCTAGTAATAATAATAAGAAATGAAAACCTTACCAGCGCGCTCGCAAAATCTAACAATTTCACTCCAAATAAAGTTAATAGATCACTCCACTCAACTCTCGTGTTTGCACTCAGGATTATTACTTGGCTTTTATCAATTCCCCTACTAATCTCACTCTCTTAGTATGTCTTTTATCACTCAATCTCTCTTGTTAAGTCCTTTAAAAGAACAAACTAAAGATTAAAACAAGTTCTTTCTCTCTTGTGTGTGTCGACTACAAATTATGGTTATGATAGAAAAGAATATGTAAATAAAGGAAATGGTTTAGGAAAAGGAATGAAAAGAAGAAAATGGGGAACTTACAATCCAAGAACATCACTTACTACACCCTTTCTCGGGACACAATAAGGATATATCCTTCAATTATGGTTGATGTAAATATGCATCCACTATTTTGGTCTAGGAATTACAATGAACCTTCTTTTGTTTTCCTTTTCTTTCTTTTTCTTTTTTTGCTTGAATTTCTTCTTTTATACTTTTAATTTGTTTTTGTACTCCTTTGTGTTTTGTAGGAGTCTTGAATTTGATTTGAACTTTTTTGTGTTACATGCCAATGACACTTCTTTGTATCAATCCAACAGAGCTCTGATACCGTTTGATATAAGGTGAATCAACACTCTTCAGTAAGAAGGAAATAGATAGTCTTATTGTGTTCCCGATCTATGAGAGGCAACAAATGATGCCCTTGAATTTTAAGTATGGCTGTAACAAATGAAAGTTAAAGATTGGAAATTGAAATAATATAAACTTAAGTAAAATGAAATAGAAAAAAGTAATGAAAGAGTTGGTAGCGAAAGATATATACTAATGATTGTGGCCGTCAATGGTGTTGATGAAGATGGTTGATGAAGTGATAAAGATGGATAGTTTTGGTGATGAAAATATCTCAAACTTGCCAAAGAAGAAACAATGTTAAGAAGCAAAATCTCGTTCTTTATGAACTTGCTTGAGTGTTGGTAGAAGTGTCTTAAATCCACTAGATAATGAATCTATGAATTATAAGAATCAAGGTGAATAGAATGATGCCACAAATATAGAAATATACTTACTTAATCGATATAGTTCTTAAAGAACTTTGAAGAGATATTTAACTCATAAAGAGAATTTGATTAAAAATATGAGATGAGATGTTTACAAATGAAGAATGCCTTCCTATTTATAAGAGTTAGAAGGCTTAGCAGAATAACTATGTGGCTTTTTCGCTAAGTACATGATTCTAATGAAAGTACATAATTAATTAAGTGAATGAATGTGTCCATAGGCCTTGTGATGGTTCAACTAACCCTTCATAAAGGAGCATGATGTTTCGGCCATGCATGAATTAACCTCCCTTGGCTGAATGGTGATGTACTTGCTCATCTTAGCGCCAAAGTCTGCATATGCAATGCATGTGTATGGTGGCCGAATAGACATGATACCTTACTCATACCTCTGTGAGAATTAAGCTTCCTTTTCATGAAAAGTTTTCACCAACGTGCACCTAAGTGATAAGGCATCTTCATGGACAACAACTTTCACGAAAGGTTACAATATTTGGAATATAACCTTTCATGAATGAGCTTGTTCTAAGGTGAGAAAGTGATCTGACCATGGGTGACTTATATCTTGGTGTCTTTTGGCAGCTCCTTGTGAAAAGTCACATCCCGGAAAGGCACCTCTTCATGAAAAGGTACGAACTGTGAAAAATTAACTTGGCCTAGATTTAAAGTATTCTGATGTGTGATTACGTTGGTGCAGCTCCCCAGCTGATTTGAGTAGTCTAAATAGCTCAAAAGGCCATCTCAATCTAGCCATGAGCTCAGATTGCAGCTGACAACTTTTCTCCAAATTGATCCTTAGCTTCCCCGGAGTTGTCCTAGTTAAGTTTTCATAACTTTGGACTCCATTTGCTAGCTTAAGTCAGCTCCCAATATGTGGCCGCCTATATACCTTAACAAATAACACAATATAAGTTATGGAATTAAAACAATAAGAATATAATATAAAGATGTGGACTATAGATTTTATGCATGATTATCAATCAATGATGCAAACCATAGGATATAATGAATGAATGCACATGTTATGATAATTCAAGTATAATCTAATATGCAAATGTATGCTCTTAATAATATATAGTGCATAAATGAGTAAATATAAGATAAAGTAAGATAGAACTCCCTTAGATTGAGCTTGATCGATCTTCAATGATGTGAGTATGTCATGAAGAAAGTTGGTGCTAGACAGGATCACATCAGGGTATCTCTTTTTTCTTCAACTTGCGATTTTGGGTTCATTTGAACCATTTATATGTAATTTCGCTTCTATTTCACATATGAAAATTTGATTTTTGAGAAGAAACGTGTTTTTTCTTCAAATATAATGGAAAGCCTTTATATTAATAAGTTATCTTATCGATATTTAGTAGATACTTTTCCCTAAGTATCGATATTAATAAATAATTTTGATACTTTTCAGCTTTCTTATTTTCTAGGTTTTTTTTAATTCTAAAGTATCAATACTTATCTATACTATAAGTTTGTCGGCTACGTAATTTTGAAGTACTTTTTCATGGTTTCAACCTACAATATTATAAGTATGTCAACATTTTTGGTCGCGTCCAACCGATTTTATTATAGTTCTTATTAAATTTTCGGTAGCGTCGTGATCTTTTTGTTTTTTAACCTTATATTAGTTTGTATGTCCGTATACATCCCGTGAAGCACACTTAACAGAATTTTTAAGTATTGTTTATTGAACTCATTAAGTGTTTTCAATAGTAAATATAAATGTTATTTTTTAAAAGATTTAGAATTAAAAAAAATTGTGTTTGTAGACTGCCAATAACAAAAAATAATAATCTTGTAATCCTTCATAATTATTAAAAAAATATTATTTATTAAAATTGGGTCAAATTCAAGGTGATGTAAGCCCATTAGAAACCAATGAAAAGAAGCGGTTATTAAGTTCCAATTTAATTCACAATTTCTTATTTTCAACTCTGCTGTCAGAGTCCCAGTTCATGCCTATTTTACTAAACAAATGCTAGAAATGAGATATCCAAAGTAAACTAAGCAACACTCTCAACTTTCCGGTAAGTTCTTGTGTTTGTTTGCTGAGAAAAATTAACAAAATCATTTGTATAGACAGATTTACTACGTTTGTTCTTGCATTTTTGTCTCCTTTCCCCCTTAAAACCAAAACTTGCTTCGTTTACTCGTATCAATTTTATGAAGGGAATAAATTATTTCTTTCTTCTTCTTTTTTTGTTAGGAAATTAAATCTTCACTCTTTGGTTCTTATAGCACCATGCATGACCTGGAAAGAAAACTGAGAGCAAACCGGAGCGATTCTTTATTTTTCTTTCTTTTAATTTTTCTATTTTTATTTTAATAGGGATACTGAAGAATGTTACATGCTATGATGCTTGATAGTCTGTTGAAGAAAAATTCTGGCATTTTCTGAAGTCTTAGGCCTGGTTATAGTAGTATTAGTGGGGAATTTGAAAAAGGAGAACACTGATCACTATTGTGAAATTGACATGGAAGATTCCGAACATGGACAATATTTTAGCAATCTAGAGCAGTTTCGTTATCGTTCTGTTGGTGATGCTGATGAGGAGGAGGAGGAGCTAAAGAATCCTCAGTATGCTTTTTTCATTGATAATTTAAAACGGGATGAGTTTGGGGAATCATACTCGGTTGAACTTGCATTTAATTCCGATGTCTCAATTGTACTTAGGTATGAGGAAAAGGAAGGAGAGTCTCTTGAGGATGTGGATGGACAGAGAAATTTTATGAGTAATTCGAAAAGAGAAAAGGCTAAGGTTCCAGAAAATTCCGGTTGCTTTTCGGGGAAAGCAAGGGGTGGTACACCAAAAACTACAAAGAAATCTTTGGAGATTGGAGATGAAGAGGGTAAGAAAAGTTTAGGAGATGTTCCCGGTCAGAAAAGAAAGAGAGTTGATGAAGACGAACTAGAAGAGGGAGCTGAGGCTGATCCAGTTTCTTGTAAATCAAGTGAAGGATCCTCGAAGTTGATGAATGTTGTTGTGAAAGTTGAAAGCCAGCCTGAGGTTCCAGATTCTTTTGATAAGTCTGGCATGAATCCTGAACTGGGAAATGATAAGTGTCATACAAGTACACATCACAAAAATGATGGAAGTTGTCCTGAAGTAGAAGTATTTACATTGGATAATATGCCTTTACTTGAAGGAGATTATATGCCATTTGTACCATCAAAATGCTTTGTATGCATATAATATTTTCCTTTTGATCTTATTTCCTTTATTTTTTTGGGTAAAGCAGAAAAACTAAAATGAACATAACACCAGATACATCTAGGCTTAAGATAATTTGGTAGGCTCTAACCTTATCTGGATGTTTGAGAAAGGGTTTTCTAGTGTTTTTCTTTTTCCTTCAGCTTTGCATGTTGCTGATTCTTTTACTGTTTCTTGTTTTCTTTAAAAATAAAAAAATAAAAACAGGTTGGTGAAGAGTGTGGGAATGGTATCAGAGATTCTAGTCCGTCTCAGTTCAGGGAGAATCTCATGGATCTTCTTAAAATTCCTTATAATGGAAAGGAGCTTGACAATCTTTGGCGAGAAGTAACCAAAAGAAAACCAGTGCAGGGTGTTAAAGAGTTGCGCCATGGAAGAATGAAATCATATTCAACCAAAACTAAAGGAAAATCATACCTTGATTGGTACAAAGGTAAGTTTGATTTCTCCAAAGTTTTTGTTTCTTTTTGTTTATTATAAAGACGTAAATTGCATGTCTTATCTGTTTTAGTAACTGGGTGTTGTAATGTTACTTGATTCCTGGAATCTTAAATTATGATCGATAAGGGTCTTTTCTGTGCATTCTCAGTTGATTTTTTTGTCATTCCACTGCCTTGTTGTAATACGATGTTATGTTTACTTTTACAAGACTGCCATCTGATATTCCTCATCAAAGATGTAACAAGTGATTTTTCAGTGGTTCTTCCTTCATTTTCAGTTTCACTTCAGATTTTGCAAGACTATTTTGCTTTGGTTCCTTACGTAGTTTTGGTTGAGCTGGACTTATTGAGCTTGATAACTGTTTCCTTCTGTAATTTCAGTATTTATTCAGTCACAAAAACATGAAATTCTGAAAAAAAGTATTTGCTTTAATCGTCATGTTTGTTACTCTTGCAGAACTAAATATTAAAGTTGAAGAATTCAGGGAAGATCGACGTAAAGTTTTATATCTCTTGCGTGGATTTTTCTTTTGGTTGAAGGTAAGTGCTTAATCATCATTGGTACATCAACATTTTCATCCAGCCAAAGCCTTTTTTAGATGCTTAACATTATTGTTTGTAGCAAAAACCAGAGCTGGGGAAGAAAGGAGACACTGGCTTAGTATCAACATCTATAAGCAAAAATCTATATGAACAATGAAACTAGTGTTTTGTTGGCCAAAGCTTCTAATTTGTATGGTTGTGTTGTTTTTTTCCCTAGAATACAGCTCACGAAGGTGCATTTCAACCATGGATGGACTCGTTGTATTTGAAGGGCTTTGACAGACCAGAGATTGTATAGCATGCCGAGCAGACTGATGTATATTGCTTCCAGTCGTATTTTGATGAAACACTGTGAAATGTAGCCCTTCTCCTGTCTAACTGTTGTTCTCCTTTGGCAGCCATGGCCGTTGTTGTCGTAATGTTGCTGCATATTAGGTTGCTTGATGTAGTGCGCTTGTGTCCGTATTATCATTCGAACCTTGAAATATTTGAAAGGTTAATATATATATATATCTACGTCTATAGTTTTAATCGAGTTTATATGCTTTAATTTAGTTGTCAACTATCAACCTACATTAGTTAAATCTAAACTATATATACAAAGAAAAGTTGAAACTCCATACAAATACAATAATCCAATAGAGTAAATGAAAAGGAAAAAAAACTTGTCACTGACATTTTTTTAAGTTATTTTGCAGGCTGACTTAGATGATAAACTCGAGCGTATAAGATTATATGGATCATTGATCGAAACTCCATTATTCACATGTACAAGTATTTACAATAATATGCCTTTACGTGACTGAGATTGTAACCAACAGGAGAAGCTTACGGATCTTCTTAACCGAAATTGGTGGAAGAGTTTTGGTTGATCTTGATAACAGTTTCCTTCGGTTGATGAATTCAGGCATGACGAACATTAAGTTGGTGCCGAGAGTTTCGTCATTACATCGTCTCATGAAGAAAACTGTCATGACATGTGAACTAAATCTTGAGTTTTACTAACCAAACCTTCAATAATTATAAGATAATCTCTAAAAATTGCAACAAGGCAAACACCATTATCACAAAGAACCTGTGATTAATTACCTTCACAAGTAGGTCATCGAATAGAGTTGCACATTTCCACTGAAAGTTAGACCCAGGAAACAAAGAATTGAAGGAAAATACATCAAATGTATGAAAGAATTAAAATGGAAGAAAATTTCAGTTATCAGAATTTAGATTTTTTTTTTCTATAAATCAATGTTGATTTGGGTCGGTAATGATTACAGACAAAAATCATTGCGACCTTCACTCCCACTCCAACTCTACTGGTTTATATCATCTGAATAACATGAATTTCTGGGCTCATTGTTTACATGTCCTACATCTATGCAGCAGTTGATTTCCGATTTATCCCAGGGCAGTCTTTTTCTTTTCTGTTGTCTGAAATACTTCTTACCCAAATCATACGATGATTCTCTTGTTCTTTTGAATGTCTGTTGGATGTTAGTACCTGAAATATCAGACTCTGGGTGGTTTCCACCAGCTGTGCTTGGAATGCTTTCAAAGGAATAACTGGTGACAGGTCGACGACTGTCCTGTTGCCCTTCTTTTGCGTCGGCACTCGTGCCGATGGAATTAGCAGGAGAAGCGGGTTGAATGTTTTTCTTATCAGGGGGACATGGAGGCAAAGGCGGAAATGGGTGGAAAGGCATGCCAGGGGCTATCCTCCAAGTTTCTGAACTTTCATCTTGTGCTGATCCAAACTGCTGCAGAAAGGGGAGTGGTACTCCATATGAAACCGGAAAACGGGAAATGAATCTCTTCTGCGGATGAGCAACAACCACATCGGGAAACTTCAACGGACAAACTTTTGGTTGAGGGAAATCTGTAGCAGTCGGAGCAGCAGGTGAAACCAAAGATGTATTGAGAGGAGAGAACCCTGGTGGAGCATCCTGCTGAAAACTTTGATTCACATTATCAATATTAGTAGATTCACCTTTGCAAAAATTTACTTTGTTATCCCCACTGTTCATCTTCTCTGTATGATCTGATGTTGCTTGACCCAAAGGCGATAACGTGCTACATTTGAGTTTCTTTGGTGACTGAGAATCAATTTTCTCTGGATCCGCTGGCTGATCCCAGCGGCTTTTACGCTTGCGAATTCTGGCACCATTGACTTGGGAAGCACCAGCTAATGATGAGGAACCGCCCTCCCTGGTGGAAGTATCTGTTGATGTTGTTCGAGCCACAGATTGTGCGACACAATTAATTGCTTCAGAAGATCGTATGGCCTGGTCACGCCAATGATTGTGAGATGCTGAAACCCTGTGAAATTCCATCCTGCCCTCATCCTTGTCCCTGTAGCCATGTTTTCTGACAGGTTTTCGAATCCACTTATCTCGAAAATTCCGGGCTATTTGATGGACCTGTAAGGTTTGATCATAGATATAAAATTCAACCAAGAAAAAGCCATTACGAAAAGAAGTATAGTCCACAGATAGCAAGATACAGAAACTATACTATTAACAAAAGTGAATATTATATGAAATGTCAAGTCGATACCTGTTTGTCATCATGCTCTGTGAATGACAGTATCGAATCCCTAAAGCTGCATGAAAAAAAGCATAGTTTTCGAGTAAAGATATAGAAAAGACAATCAATTTCAATCAAAAACAAAACTCAGTTATATTCTCTAACCTCTCCCTTCCAGGGCAGTAAGGACCTCCATTAATATGCTCCTGAGTAAGTATTCCCCGCCCTGCCAAATACTCTAAAACCTGCAGAAAAAGTAAGTTGCAAACTTTACTCTTGTCATATTTCCAGAGAACTTTGGTATCTAATTTCAAGTTCTCATGACACTTTATCATCATAACTTTAAGTTCCATATACCAGCTTAAGAATGACGACTCTGTGCTGGACCTAACTGCAACCTTCTTGTATTATCCAAAAAAATGAGATAATCAGACAATTCATGCTAACACACACACAACAGATACAGAATGCACATATACATTAGATGAATCTTATGCGGTGCTTCTTTTCCATGAAATGTAGTGGCAGACTAGACAAAGGCATTCATATTGCCCTCTGTTTTCTTTTTCAAATTTTCTCCAACATAAAGAAACCTTGCCCTTGGGGATCACCATTTACCATCCAGAAAGAGCAGCGTAAGTAATATCCTTTGTGCTTAAATGAAGGTGAATATTATCCACAAAAGACAATAATGCAAAAGAGGAACACAAAGGATGATCTAACCGCTCTATCACTTGACTTAACCATGCAGCAGCAGATTTTCATAACTCAATCTAGAATTACAGGTGAACTGTCTGCTGCCAAAACTATTTTTTTTCTTTTTTTTTTATAGGAATTGAAGGCCTCGTTAAAAACCCCCTTCATGATTAAAGGAGCTTATAGAGAAGCTCCTTAATCAGCGGAAGGAGGAAAAGAGTACCTTAGGATTTTATTAACCATAGAAAATACACGATACAACCAGGGAGCCACCCCCAAAATAAACAAAACACCAAAAACAGCCTCAAACAATCCTACCAGAACCAGCCTAATCCAACAAAGCAACAACAACAGCCTAAAAAACAGACTGGCCAAACTAAAAACCTAAACGTGGCCCGATAGACTCCCAAACAAACAAAACAACCATAATAAAAGCCAAGGGTGACAGCTGACTAAAACCATATAAGCCAACTTCTAACTCAAAAAAAAGCCACGGAGTCGGCAAAGACCATCCGAACTTCCAGCTCCAAACAAAAAGCATGATGCAGATCACCTGAAACTTCTACTCCTTCCCCGCCATAGTCTTCCGACATCAGATACACTACTGAGCCATTAGACTCACAACCCAATTCTTTCCCAAATGGCAAGGAATTGATCGCATCCTTCTGTTGAGACTGCCCCAATGCTGGAAAATCAGATTCATAAATGAATCTGCCTTCAATAACAGACACCTCATCCTCCCACTGCACCTTACTCTGATGGCTCTTGCTTCGGAAACCTCTAAACTTTCTTTTGGGAGATGTAAAATTCCCTTGAAAAAATTGTTTAGATCTATATTTGTTACCAAAACCCACCTTAGGTCTCATGTACTGCCTTGCGTTACCCTTTGGATTTATGTATGCACAGTTGTAAGAAAGGCCATCTTGAATTCCATCCTCCACCACCCTTGACTCAACCCGACCATCCAACATGGGGAAATCATTATAATAATCCTTCGAGCCCACTAAAGCACATGCAGGCTCACTACTTTTCCTGTAGGCATCTTCTTTCTCCCTCTCCACGTGAACCAACTTAAGAATTGATGCCATTTCATTGAGCAGTAAAATGCAGCTAATTCAAATGTTGAATATTACTATTAAAAGAAAGCACTTAACCCATTATAATGAATGTTTTCCTTAATTTCTCTCTGAAAATAGAAAAAGGAAGCATATCCTTTTACTACCATTCAGTTCAAAAACTATGATTCACCTGATATTCCGAGAATCAATAATAGAAATGACATGAATATTCACAAATATCATTATATAACCCACACGACATAACAATGCAACAACACAGTTTCGACACTGCACCTTTAGAAGCTTTCGAAGAATCGGAATCTTTTTGAAGTCCCTTCTATATTTCTTCAATATGTTGTGTAGCATCTGCAAACCTGAAAACCAAAGCAACAGTAATTTATTTGAATGCAGAGATGCAATTGCAGCGTACCATTCATCACTGGATGCTGTGCAGCAAAAGTTGGGAAGAATACCATTCTTGTTAATTATGTCGGTTAGCACATGTCCTGATTTTGTTTTCAAAAGTGCATCAAGAATCATTGAAAGCTCTCGATTGCTGCATAATAAGGTAGAATCAAAGATTGGTAACTTACACGGTATGAGCACAAAATATACTGTAACGAGGCATCTAAATGAAGAGAAACTATGTTTACCTCTGAATTGCTTCCCCACTGCTACCATCACCAGAAGTAGCTGTGAGAAGTAGAAGCTTCAAGTAGCCTTTAGATGCATCCTGTCACAAATCAGAATGTCCAATGAACATGATCAGGTATAAAGATCAGAAATAAAGAATTATGATGCAATACACAAAATTTCCACATCAAAGGGTCATCTTAGTATGACTTGAAGAAGATGCCAAAGCACACAAAAAGCTAGTAAAAATGATGAGAAACAAGAAAAATTTTCTCATCTAAAAACTAAATGCCTGATTTTGATGTTACTAACCTTCCGTTTTGTTATTCCCCCTTCAGAATCCAGCAACTCATTAAGTTTCTCCTCCACTGCAAGCATTCAATTGCATGCATCAGTAACATAGAAGACTACAGAACAGTCTCATTTTAAAATAATAGATTTCTTAACCTGCTTCAAAACGGCCAGTACTTGAATTTTCTGAGAATTTTCTGGGTTTGACAGTT